TGTCATCTGATCTGATGATATCCATTAAGGTACAACTCGGGAATGCTGGTAAATGACGCAAATACTTAGGTGCGCCAGGGCCATAGTAGCACTGGGCAAATGAGAATTTCACCCCTCACCGTTAATTTCTCTTTGTTTTGGGATATATTTTGAAACTAATACGGAAATGATCAAAGCCTAATCATTTTTAACTAGTGTGTACCTCGTGCGATGCACGGAAACAATATTAAATCAACAATATTATAAATAGATCTCGAGTTTTAGTCACTCAATGGCGGAAGTGGAAACTACTATTGATCCTATTTAAAAAGAGGAAGAAAAAAATAATTATTAATTAAAGAGGAGGATAAACGATACTTAATAATTATAAATTAAAGATTTGGGGTCAAACAATATAAAATTATTTTGTATAAGAGAATATAAAATTTTCATTATTTTGTATAAGAGAATATAAAATTTGGATGTTTAACACCTAAAATATTATATTAGTATATGTGAAAGTATTCAAAATTTCTATATTATTTTTGAAAGATGTAAAGTCACCTACAACTTTTCTAAACAATTTTAGAAGGAAAACATATCTAAAAACATTTGAATTTAACATTGTGTAAAAAAGATTTTTCTAGACTATTTTATGAAGAAGACATGTCTACGGATATTTAAATTTAACATCAATTATATATATATATGTGTATATATATATAGACGTGTGTGTATATATATAGACGAATATGTAAAAAAAATATCTAAACAATTTGTTTAAAGTATCTAAAATATTATAAGCCTAATTTAATTACATACAATTTCAAAATTATTATTATGGCGTTACTTCCATTTAACAAAATTTGATTAAATACAATTTCAACACAATTTGTTATTTTGTTAACCTAAAAAATAGGAAAAAGCACAAAAACTATCGCCGGTTTTTAAAGGGAAACAAATCAACAAAATCTATTATTTTATTAACCTGTAAAATAAGAAAAAGGGAACCATCGAAAAAACGCGCCGCATTAATTCATTAAAATTAAGCGCCACATTTATTCATTAAAATTATCAATGGCGCATTTAGTAAAAAAATCAGGTGATTTGTTACACTATCTATCAAAAAAAAAAAAGGAAAGATATTTACTATATTTTAGGATGTACAGTTTTAACGATAGATTGGCGGGTGAATATTTATAAATAATTGGCGAAAATTTTTGGCGGCAATTCATAAAAGACTATTCTTTTAATATCATTATAGATTAATTAAAGCTAATTGAAACTTATTTTGTCATGTAAAACATGTTTATTTAACAGGTATGTATCGATAGTAATATATAAGGGTTGTTGGAAAAATATTTAAATAGTAACTTTGACTAAAAAAATAAATTGTTGACTTACTAATATAAATAATATTCTACAAACCACATGTCATAATAATTTTTAAAAATTTTAGTAAATCTTTTAGCAGAAAAATTGATAAGAGGTTCGATTTTTTAAGCATATTTTATTATTATTTTTTTTTGTTAACAACCTTCACAATATGAATGGATTTTTTGGGTTTTTTTTTTTATTTTCTTGGTAACGAGTTTCATAACTATTTACACAAATCTCTAGCAATTTTGGTAAATATTTTAGCCGAAAATTTGGTAAGGGATTCGAATTTTGAACATTTTTTTTTTTAACAATTTTCCCACTATGATTGGATTCTTTGGGTTTTTTTTTTTTT